CGCTGAAGAGTGCCATTGCTTCTTTGAATCCCAGTACATTCGACGAACTGAACAGAAGCGTTGATAACTTTCTGATTCAATACCGTAACACAGTACAGTCAAATACGGGACACAGTCCAGCGAAGCTGTTTAAGAGTCGAGTACTTCGAACAAATCTTCTACGCTTGGAGTCTGCGGAAGTCGTGTATCATNTATGTCGCATATTGGATCTAGATGATGGCACTGTACATCGCAGACATGTAGACGAAGTAATTTGTAATTTTCCCAATCCTAATACTAGTTGTGAACCTACTAATCCTTTTATGTCTGAGTCTTTTCCAGAGGAATTACATCTCAGTATAAATGTCGAAAACAGTACAGAAGAATCCAGAAGATGTGAACGATTACTCAACAAAGTCCGCCGTGATTACAGAAGACCGGAGCTTCATTCAAGCTGCGGCGGATGTGGTTACTGCTCATGAACTATGAACTCTTTTGTTTTCTTGAAAACGACATCCTTGTATATTACTAATTTCCGCCTAGTACAATTCCACTCCGCCTCTGAGTTGACTTATAGTTCCGTTTCAAATCGTAGTTCTGGGTCGGACTATTAGTGCGCGGAATCCGATACGTATACGATATACTAGTCCGAGTACGATCCAAGACAATACCCTGACCTGGGATTCGAGGTGGCTTATGCCCTTCCTAATGAAGTTGCCTACTCCACCTTCCAGAAATTCATGCTGTTTATCCTGTCTGTTGGTTGCAAAGCGCTCTTGAAAGGCTCGGGTTACGTGGTCATTCTTAGATAACCAAGTTTCGGTGATCGCAATTACCCCTGGACCGCATTCAGCGCTCAGCTTAAAGAGTTCCATCCATTTGTTACGTATGCTGCATGCATTGTTGTATACCACCACTTCTTCCGTTCTCCGTCCTTTGTTTTCTATAATGTATAGGTCTGGTCAGGTTGCACATGACTGAATTTGGCCACAGCCAATCGAGCGTCCAGAATTCCTTTGATTGTATGCTCACTACGTGGGCAAACACCTCTGATGAAATAAGAAAGGAGAAATAGGATCTGATCTCACCAAGTTGGCGGGTTAATTGTTAGACGTAAGCATTCCACGACGTGTATCAGTAAAAAAGGGAAAAGGCATCCTAAACGTTTGGCACACCTACACACGTCTACACTGCCAGTGATGGGAATAGTTCCACCCATCGCTTATCGATTGCAGTCCTAAAGGCTTGCACTGTTCGGAGATCGACTATTTCCTTGGGAAGCCGGTTCAAACTGTCGATTATCCTATTGCTGAAAAAGTGCTTCCTCATGTTTAGTCGACACCTCTACTTCAAGAGCTTGAGCTCATGACCCCTAGTGCCGTGTTGGGGAGCTAATATGAGGAGACTGTCCACTTCCATCCCCGATATTCCCTTCATGATTTTAAAGGTTTCCATCAGGTCTCCTCGCAGTCTCCTTCTTTCTAATGAGAAACGTCCTAGAGCCTCAAATCTTTCCTCATATGTTTTTTCCCTCGGGCCTTCAGCCATTCTGGTGACCAATCTCTGCACTTTCTCCAAATAGGAAGCATTCTTCTTGAATAAGGGTGACCGAGCCTGTACACATTGCTCTGTGTGGTCTGACTATGTCCTTGTAAACGGGAATGAAAACTTCCGGTCGTCTGCATGTGAGAACCGACCGTAGTCTAAATAATTCCCCCCTAGCCCCGCGCGGCTCAGCGGATTGGCGTTAAACTGTGGTCTGTCGCCCGAGTTGCCCGAGTGCTCTTCCATTTACCAGACTCCGCGTCTCCTGTGTTCACCTTTCAGCACACACACTAAGATAAAAGATAAGAGCCGATAGCATCCAGGTTGCTGAGGCACTTCATATGTTGGTGGTCCACAACAGGTACCCTTTTGGCTATTGAGCTATCTGAGTATGTCTAGAGCACGGTAGCAGCGCTGACCTTATCAGGTTCTCAGAGCAAAACGTACCAGCTGCAGTCCATCCAGGGATCAGCCTAGACCCGGTTTAGCAGGGTAGTGGTGGTCGGTATGTTGCCCCTTTGTTTTCTCATTTACCAGTTCGGGCTGCTATCCGTTAATGGTCAAAACACGTGCGTGACTTTTTTCACCGTATTTAAACCTCCACTCATCACCTCCTATTTTTCTCACTCTCCTCTACCCTTCATGTCCATATTTGGTACAGGATTGGTGCTCATTTGGAGTAGTGGATACCTCGGTGAATCGTGTTCGCGTCTGCCTCTTGTTCATATCTCACGCGTCCCACCCCACTTTTTATGCATTTTTTCGACTGCAGGTACCCAAAGTATGCCTTTGGGTTTGTTTTGGCGTCCTTAGCTAGTCTCATCTCATATGCTTCCTTATATTTTTTTTGTACTCTAGTGGCTTTCGTTCTGGGCGTCAGGTACTGCAAGAGACTGCGGTGGCCACATCTGGCTTTCTATCGCTTCCAGGTCTCTTGCTTTCTAATGTTTGCTTTGCGCGCACGAGATCACCATCACAATAGAGTTCGAACCTTCCTGAGTTTGCGGATAGGTGCAACTTCATTGTTGAAGTCTAATAGGTTCCGCCTAATCACCTTCAATAGGTCCTCAACGGTGCTCGGTTCCTCCGTCCATTTCAAGGACGACGCTTTCCCCATAAGTTCTACTTGGTTTATTCGGCTGAAGTTCCTTCCCCTCTTGTCGGGCACCCGGTCACTTATAGGAAGTACGATAGGCAAACCACTGCATGGTCGCTTTTCGCTGACGATGATTCCATTTCAGTCCTGACAACATCGTTTCGGCACCGAGTTATGATTAGGTCTAATGTCAACCCAGCCCGGCCAGCTCCCCGTCTGGACCACATGCTGCAAGATTGCAC